TCTACCACACAGGGACAGGTGAGGCATCTTTCAAATTCTAATCCGTTATATCTCCAGAGAGAAGATTTCAACACCTGTGCAGGCTCAGAATCTCAGGTGAGGCTTCTGTCCATCACTCTGGAAAGTCCTGGCTGATACACCTCTGCCTATAGATACTTAGCAGAACTTTGAGGAAGAGCCATGGCCTCATCGCCAGCGATCAGGAAGATGAGGGAGGAAGCCATGCTCCATCTGCCAGCAGCTGATGAAGGAGCCCGTGAGCGTCAACTGTGGGCACAGCTTCTGCCGCCAGTGCATAGACAATATCATTGGGCAGCAATATTTTGTGACATCTTTTTATTTGGAGGGCTCGCTGTCCCCTGTGCCAACATCACTTCAAAGGGAGAGTGTCCGACCCAACAAGCACCTTGAAAACCTCATTGAGCGCATCCAGGAGCTTGGAGCGTGAGAGGCTGTGTGAGGAACATGGGGAGCAGCTCCACCTTTCTGTGAGGACGACGAGCACTCATCTGCTGGCGCTGTGAGCGCTCCCCCCAGCACAGAGGACACCGCACGGCTCTAGTGGAGGACGTATGTCCAGGCTACAAGGTGAGTGAGTGGCCAAACTTTCAGCAAGTTCTTCCTCTTATGTTGCACATTTTCATTGAAATTACTTAGTCTGAACACCAAGATTGTGACTGCAAAAATGTTGTTTCCATCATGTTATTTTCTGAATAATAATTAATTATGATCCCAGTGAGTCAGGTCATCAGTCATTTTCTCTTTTTTTTTTTTTTTTTTTTAAAAGATTTATTTATTTATTTATACATACAAGCACTGGGTACAGTCAGAAGCACAGGAGGGTGAGAGAATTCACCAGAGCCAGAGCGGGGAGCAGAGCAGGCAGAGGACCGAAGCACACTGCTGAGGGGAGCAGGGGGGCGGCAGGAGAGGTCTGCACACCATGTGGGACCCTCCTCCGTGTCGGGGAGCAGCTGGGGATCGAACTGGCGCTGCAGAGGCTGCAGGCAGCTTCACAACCCAGCGCTCAACCGCTGCGCCACCAGGGAGGCCCGAGGTCATCACTTTCTATGCTGAACTTTAAGGTTGGGCAGAACCTTTCCTGTAAGAATTTCCTGTAATGATTCCCCTGGACAATAGACTGTGCTCTTTGTCACACCTGCCTCATTCATGGCCTCACCTCAAATACGTAAGTGGAGATACCACAGCGTTCAAGAGCACAGGACAGCATCTGAAATCCCAGAGGTCAGAACCAACACCTTCTTGATATCCCAGAGTCCACAAGGAGTAAGAAAAGGAACTCAGGACGCCTGACCTTCCTTGGTGTGGGTGGTGAGGTGGGCGACACTAGGGGCAGGAATGAGTGTGTGAGGGGGAGACTTCCCTGAGTGAGTCCTGAAGGACACACACAATATCACCACGGGCAGAGTGTGGATAAGAGACAGGAAGCCAGATCAGGTGGTTCACTTGTCACGAGAGCTTGCCTGACTCTCCATGGCCCAGTCAGGGGGCTCGTGAGAGGAAAGGCCGTTGCGGGCATGGGAAAGGATGTCAGGAAGGATTGTTGGTATTACTCGGAGTCTATACCCCTCCCCAGAGCGGCCTGGGACAGTAGGACTTTATTTGTGGAGGGAAAGATCAGGTTGACATGTAAAAACACATACTGCGTGGACAAAATAAACAACAAGGACAAAATCTAAGGATTGGAAATGGCAACAGGTGTGAGCATAAACTGGGAAGGGGAGTTAGGGTTTAAACATACTTGGTGGGAGGGATGAAGCCTTGAGAGACCTTTCAGTCATTTCCTATGTTTTTGACACAATAGCTTTTAACATAAGGGTCCCTTTGATGTGGAGGAATGAAGAAGTGGGATTCCTTCCTCTCTGCCCCTTTGACATTTGAAGTAACATCCCCAGTGTGGGGCTCTGAGTACCCTCATCACTGAGGGCCTGTGTATTGTGTGAAGGTTCTGGATCCTGTGTCAGGGCATGTCAGCCCTGACCATTGCTCAGTGCACTCACCTCTTCCTGTAACCCCATGAGCAGTCAGGGCTGTAATGGGGCAGGTCTCACTGCTTCTCCCCATGTCATCAAATAGGAGGAACACAAGGTGATGGGTGTAGCCTCAAGAGTCAGACTGCTGAGGTCAAATATTAGTTTAGCCTCCTCCGAAGTGGGCAACTGGGAGCAGCTCAGTTCTTGCTTCATGACTTGGTTTCTCCATGTGTAAATGGAGAAAAGGGCTGCCCCCTCCCACCCGACACACACACCAGGAGGTTGTCATAAGTTGTAAGGACATTCTCTAGGTAGAGTTGAGAATAGCACTGTGCTCATTGCAAAAGCAAATCAGTCTTTTGGTAAATAGTTTCTTGAGCATTATTTTGAGAGTGTTGTGATGTTATGAGTAATTTTGTGAATTTGCAGAGGCCAGGAGGCAATTCCTTTATTGTGGATGACAATGAGCAGTTTAGTAAGCTTCAGATCCCTTCTCTTGAAAATGTGAGGAAAGGGTGCCTTCCTGGTTGTACAGGGGTTCAAGACTCAATGCTATCAAGCTATCCCAGCCACTGCAGCATGAGTTCAATTCCTGGCCAGGAAGCAACCACATGGTGCAGCAGACCTCTCCTCAGCAGTTTCTTTCAATCCATCTGCCTGTTCTGCTCCCCACTCTGTCTCTGGTGAATCCTTTCACCACCCCCCATCCCCCCACATCTCTAACCTACACTCCAGTTCATGTAGGCATAAATGAATAAAAAATAAATCTTCAGTAAAGAAAAAAGAAAGTGTGAGAAACTTTTGAATAAACCCTAGAGATGGATGTGGACACGAATCACTGTGAGTTGACGTCATGACACTGTTCTCCAGGTGATACAGGGCGCCCCCTCATGACCTGGTTCTATAACTTCAACTGCCATCCTGGGCTCTCCTTCCTGACTTGGCGTAACATGTGAAAAGTTCCCTATGTGTCAGGCACTGTGTATTATCTATGACGGGTCCAGCACGTTATTTTACAAAATTTGCTTTTAGATGATTTTAACCTTAAACGATGAGCAGCATTTTCCTAGCTGACTGTAGTGCGGAGTTAGTCCAATCCTTAGTTCCGCGATGAGCTGGGAATCACATCTCTGCCACCTACCAGTGATGGCCCCTTGGGCAGGTTACTGCTCCCTTCCTAAGCCTCCACATCTACAGCACAGAAAGATGTTACAATCCAGCAACTGCTCAGGGACTCCTAGGAATCACTTAATACTACTGCCCTCATGTTGCTTCCTCGCAAAGTGTAAGGTTCAATGTTATTGTACTGCTTGGAGGTTGGGATTCCCTGTAAGTACCAAATGAAGATTTGATATGGATTAGCCAGACCTCACTCAACATTTCCTGCAGGACAAGCTCCAAGGCATTGTAACAAACCTGAAGGAAACTCAAGACCACTGTACCAGTGCGAAGTTGTTCATGGCAGAGCAAATAACTGCATGGAAGGTAAGAATTGGAGTTTAGTGATCACAAACTATTTTTCATCCTGAATTCAAGTATAGGATATGACTGGGCAAAGTACTCATTGATAGTTTATTCTCATTAAACCAGTACAAATTGCTGAGCCCCAAAGAATATGCCAGTTTTTTAAAAAAATAATTCCTTTAGTTGTCTAATCTAGGAGAATTTCCCTCTACTTTCTTCAGCCTTGCAGGAGTAAAGTGCTAGGCATCCCATCACCTCAGTCAGGAGAAACAAAGCTGTTGTGCCCCTGACCTTCAACGGGCTTCACATTTTCAATGACTGAAATTACCTCCTGTCTGAAGATCGTGAACTCACCTGCGCACATTTACCAGAGTACAGGGTCAGACCCTCTACCTTCCTGGTTGCAATACCACCCTAAGGGAATAACAGGACCAGTGCAGAAGACCTTCCCATAACTCAAGCTCGTGAGGTTGTGATGAGGATAGAGCTCTGCAAGACTTACACACACTTGCACTGTAGACGTTGGGTCTCTAAGACAGTGTCCGTGGCTGACCAGCCCCTGCAGGATCAGAGACACATTCTTTTATGGATATGGATGTAATCCATCATTTAGTAACCAAATTCCCCAGATGTGTGAGCCATTTTGCCTCTTTCAGTTTCTCTTCCCACCTTGACCTTGCTTCTGTGTGAGTGGATGTGAAATTGACTCGTCCATCCCTCATTTCGAGATCCTTGGAAGTTGGAGGACCATACTTGGAAATAACAAGTGAAGATTCCTGACACTGTAGGTGCTACAACTGCCTCTGTCTCCTCATTCTGGAATATTAGGTCATAGGGAGAACTTCTATTGCTACATACCATATAAGGAAACCATGTCAATGCCAGAGTCCAGCTGTCCCAGGTCTCCTACAAAAAGTTCCGCTTCAGGGCCTCCCTGCTGGCTCAAGGAGATAAGTCTCAGACAGTGAAACTATTGGTAGCCACTGCAGCATGAGTTCAATCACTGGACAGGGAGATGCACAGCAGACCTCTTCTGCCTCACTGGCTGCTACCCTCAGCAGTGTATTTCAGTCAATCTGCCTGTTCTCCCCACTCTGTCTCTGATAAATTCTCTCACCTATGCACCTCTGGCCTACACCCAAGTTCTTGTATGCATAAATAAACAAAATCGTTGAAAAAAAATTCCACTTCATCCTAATCAATACTCCATCTACCATAATATCACAGTCACTAAAGCACTGTTGGAATTGAGAAAGCACAGATATAAATTGCAATTCCATATACCACAATAAAACCTGTGTTACACATAAAGATGAAATATGAATCCTGGTAGGTGCAATAATATATCTGGTAGCTCTTCAGGCTTCCCCTATTGAGTGTTATAGACTCTCCTATGAGCCTGATGACTTAAATTCAGCATTGGTTATATTCACTATCAGCGTTTAGTTGAAGAAATTCTCTCAGAACATATATATAGCATGTTACTTGCCCATAGTGCTTGGTTTTATCTTCATAAATGATAAGTTACTTGCTATTGGCCAAATTCCATTATTCTCCTGTTTAGCATTCCGGGAACATCTTCTTCTGCATCGTGGCTGGAGAAAAAGGAAATGTACCAGGTGGCTGCAGCTTATGATCACCTTCCACATCAGAGTGCAGCCTTTAGGTCATTTCTAGTGTACAGTCCAGTGGCATGAAATACATTTACTTGCTTTGTAGCCATCACCATCCTCGTCTGCAGAACTATTTCAGCATTCCAAATTGGAGACTCTATGTCCATGAACAATAACTCCATTGCTCCCTCCTTCCGGCTTGAGGGCCACCGAACTACTTGTTGTTTCTCAATTTGATGAGGGCCCACATATGAGAGGACTCATAGGGTCTTTCTCTTTTGTGCTTTGGCTCATGTCCCTCAGCATGAATCTTCAAGATACGTCCAGTTGGGCACATGTCACAGTTTGCTTTCCTCCTAGGGGTGAGCAGATTTGCACTGTGTCTCAGTCCTACCTGTGTTTACTGACTCACCAAAGAGGTATGTTTGGTTTGTTTCCCCCTTTTCTGCCTACTTTCTTGATTCTAGGAGAACATAGAGCTTCGGAGACAAGAAATCAAGTCTGAGTTTTGGAATCTCCACTGCTTCCTCCATGAGGAGGAGAGGGCTTATCTATGGAGATTGGAGAAAGAGGAAGAGAAGCTGCTGGGGAGACTGCAGGACAGTGAAGCCAGTCTGGACAATCAGAGTTGTGAACTGGAGAAGCTCGTCCTGGAACTAGAGAAGAAATGTCAGGGCTCAGCCCAGAATTTATTGCAGGTGAGGGAGGCTGTGAAATTGGAGGAAAGAAAGAATGTCTGTTTCTGATCTATTGAGAGGAGAATGTCGAGGGAGCCTGGGAAGTTTGGCGAGTCCTCTCTGCCTCATTCAATATTTAAAGTAATAAATGTTGAAGGCTATAGCAGCAGCAGTTCTTTTGCCCATTTCTGTCTATGCAAGTGTCCTTTACTCTTCTCTCCCTTTTTATTATAAACCTCCCCTTTGGAAACCAAAGAAAAGATCCATATCAATGTCAGCTGGTGGCCTGTGCAGGTATCCACAGGGGCAGTATGTGATTCAGACACCAGCTTCTCTGGGTGGAATGTAGGTTTCTTGGCCATATGGAACCACAGAATAACCTTCATCCCATTTATTCACCCTTGTCAGTTGTTCATGGAACCTTCACCCCATCTCTTGAAAATGACTGGTGGTATAGAGAGGGGCATCCAAAATGAATGATAACCTTCTCCTGAACCACTTGTCTTGGGCCATGAGCTCTTAGGGAACCTCATTTCAGCTGCCTGGAGCTTCCAGCTGGTGAACATCAATGCCTGGACTCCAGTTGCTGTTGCAGGACTGGTGGTTGCACTGTGAGGGTGAGGATGTAGTGTGATAGCGCCCTCAGCAGGTGACATCTGCTGCCTTGGCCTCAGTGTCCCAGAGCCAGGGTCTGGGCATGGATTCCCCACTGAGGACCTTTGTCATAAGTAACAAAGGTAAGATGGGCTCCTCAGAAGGAAATTGTATCACTAATAGCAGAAGGAAATGCAACCTTGCTCCTGGCCTCTTCTCTAATGTCACGGGTTAATGTAAATGAAGACTCCATAACTCCCCCCAAGCCTGAGTAAGTGTGATCACATACTTACACACACTGGCAGTGACTATCCTAGGAGACTAGGATGGGAATCTTTCAACCTGGGTATGTGTGGGTGTCTCAGGCTGGGTCACTCTACTTCCTGAGATGGAGTGTTCATAGCAAGTAGCCCCATGTTTCAAGTGACACAAAATACTGATTTCCCCACACTCACATTTGTCTTTGTTTTCACTGTAGGGTGTGAAAGACACATTAAACTGGTGAGTCTGTATGAATGTGGGAGTGTGAGGATGTGGGCAGTTGTGTGGCTACCCAGAGCTGAATGGAATGTCCCCTGTTCCTTATAGGAATTCAGATGTGAAGCTGAAATTGCCAGAGATCTTCTGTTTGGAGCCTCAAACTGTGTGCCATGTTCCTGAGCTTTACTTTGATGTGAAGAAAATGTTAAGGCACTTCCAAGGTGTGTGAAGTCAACAGTTCCCTTCATGCTTTACATAGAATGCCCCTTTGGTGGCAACTAACTGAGCAGCTGTCCCTGGATAGACTCAGAGACAGAGAGGCTGTTTAGCTGTTCTCAGTGGAGCTGGAGCTCTCTACCTTGTGGATAAGCAGGGATGTAGCTTCCCTGTTAACTCTTCAGGCTCTTCAAATTCCTTCTCTCCCAGACTAATCACCTGCTCATTCTCCCCATCTAAACAACAATATAGAAGATTTCACTTCCCTCACTTATCATGACATTTAACAGCATCAATGTATGCAGTGTTTAGAACATTTATTACAATTTCATTAAACTCTCAGCAATGCAAGAAAGATAGATCAGTATTTTAAACTGTGATGAAAATGGTTTTAAGGCCTTGACTCCTCTAAATGTTAGAATCCTAATGAAAGCCAGTATGACCAATTCCAATCCTGAGCTTCCAATCCCTTAGTTCTTACTTAGTATTTGTCATTTTCCATATGTCCACAATTAGATAATTAGATAATAAGTTAAATATTATTAAAAAATTCTTTAGGCTGTAAAATCAGAATGAACCTGACAGAGGCCAAACCAGAATTGATTCCACTGGTGTGCTGCTATTTTAAGTATGTATTTTATCCCACCAGGTTATTTCTTTAAAGATTTATTTATTTACCCATACTAGAGCTGGCACACAGGCCAGAGGTGTTGGGGGGGCGGTGGAAGGATTCACCTGAGACAGAGTGGGGAAAAGAACAGGCAGACTGACTGGAATACACTGCTAAGGGAACAGTGGGCGAAACAGGAGAGGTACTGTGCATGTAGGTTGGCTCCCTGGCCAGCCATGGATTCAACTCATGCTGCAGAGGCTGAGGATAGCTCACAGTGCTGTGCTTAACCCCTTGTGTCCCGAGGGAGGCCCAAGAGTCATCTATTTTCTATTTAGGTTGCTTCTGCAGGGATTTTTCCCATATCTGCCCATTGTCATTTATAAGCATTTTGATTGTGTAATCTTACCATTTTTATTGGTGTTTTTATTACTGTATTACACTGAATTACATTCAAGTAACCGGTCTGTGTAACATAGATCTACAGATATATGTTCATTCTTTCAATCTGACTAGTCTTATTCATGGCTACATAGTCCATGTAGAAAATGTGATGTAAACTGCATTTTCTCTACTTATTAATCGCTGGTATTTTCATTTGTCTATTAAATTGGTCTGTTTGAGGGCCTCCCCAGTAGCTCAGCGGGTTGAGCGCAGTGCTGTGAAGGTGACCGCAGTCTCTGCAGCAACGATTCAATTCCCGCCAGCCAAGGAGAATCCCACATGGGGAGGCGGACCTCCCCTGTCTCGCCCGCTAGTCTGCTCAGCAGTGTATTTCGTCAGTCTGCCTGTTCTGTTCCCCACTCTGTCTCTGATGATTCCTCTCACCATCCTGCAACTCTGGCCTGTACCCCAACCTCTTGTATAAATAAAAAAATAAGAAAAAAAAAAATAAATTGGTCTGTTTGAACTGTCTTAGTCTTCCCCAGTTTAGTGATCTTTTTGGCCAGCCTCACACTTAAGAAATCACACTCCTGTTGCCTCCCTGAGACGCAAGGGGTTAAGAAGCAACCTATAAAGCTGTCTGCAGCGACTGCAGCATGAGTTCGATCCCCGCCTGGGAGGTAACCACATGGTGCAGCAGACCTCTCCCAACTCATCCTCTGCTCCCCTTAGCAGTGTATTTCAGTCAGTCTGCCTGTTCTGTTCCCCACTCTGTCTCTGGTGAGTCCTCTCACCCATACTCCTCTGGCCTGTGCCCGAGTTCTTGTATGTATAAATAAATAAACCTTTAAAAACAAACAAATTACACTCCTGGCCAGTATCACGCTTAAAAGATCATTATTTTTTTTATTTTACTTATACTAGTCAGATCCTTTTGATGTGCGTTATTCCAGCATAAATTGTATCACTTTTTACTCATCCCTGGGACAATATGGACTATCATCTGCAGCAACATAAAAGACTTCACACCAAAATTCATGGGTCTGAGAGGTGCTCTGAGGGCTGAATAGAATACTGGGATCTGAGGTAACTGTTTCAATAACAAAATATGGCAGGACCTATGTTATTTTGCTTTCTGATAATCAGTGTGAAAGGTTATCACTAAAAATGGGGATAAGCTTCTTTTTTGCGTCAATATTCCATGATTCTTGGTGGCCCTACACAGGGGATAAGGGTTGTGGAGAGGACAGCAACCACTCTGGTTAGTCAGTCCCTTGCCTTCTCCAAGGGACTGAGTTGGTGATGGTGACAGTGATGGAGAGGATATTACTTCCACTTATTGCTTACTTACCAAATGCCAGGAACTTCTCCAAGCAGTAGGGTGCATGAGCTCCTTCAATCCTCCCGACCGTTACTGTGGCGGGTATGATGATGTCGTACTATAGCATGCAGAGTCTTAGAAAGTGACTCACAGAGCTAGAAGAAGTAGGCAGCACCTGAATCCAAGAAGGTTGTACTTGAAGTGCACTGTCTTCTCAGCAAATAAAATGTGTCTTTCTCTTTTATCAGTCAGCGTGACTCTGGATCCAAACACAGCTCATCGTGAACTAATTCTGTCTGAGGATCGGAGACATGTGACCCGTGGAGGCAGACGGAAGAAGCATATCAGTTCTAAAAGATTATGTTCCTTACCCTGTGTCCTGGGCTGTGAGGGTTTCACCTCAGGAAGACATTACTTTGAAGTGGACGTGGGAGAAGGATCCGGGTGGGACTTAGGAGTTTGTCTGGAAAATGTGCACAGGGACAGGGACATGACCCCAGAGCCTCAGTCTGGCTTCTGGGCCATCAGACTCTGCCAGGAGAATGGCTACATGGCCCTTACCTCTCCCCCAACACCCCTTTCATTGAGGGAGCGGCCCCTGCTAGTGGGAGTTTTTCTGGACTGTGAGGCTGGACTTGTGTCCTTTTACAATATGAACACTGGCTCCCACATCTTCACCTTCCCAAGGGCCTCCTTCTCTGGTACTCTTCGGCCTTATTTCCAGGTTAATCATTCTTCTTCTTTGTTCCTCCCTCCACCCCTGGAGTCAATTTAAAAGAGTCTCTTTGTTTCCCATTGTAGAAATATAACGTCAGTCCTATTAGGTCAGGACTTGGTCTATTTTGTCATTTGCTCTTTCCCTTTACCTGAACTGGCGCTGAGTTCACAGTGGACACTCAGTGAGTGTGCCATGACTGCTGGACACAGCCACTGTGCAGACAGCACAGAAGATCAGCCTGACCGGCGGGGAAGCGAGAGAACAGCAGGGTCATCCCTCATACTCAACCCCTGTCACTGGGTCACATCTCTGACCTGCCAGGGTCCTGGTCTCACGCTGGTGTCTGGCCTCTTCCATTTCATGTCAAGTTTTCACGCTCCATCAATGTTGTAGTTTGGGTTAGTAGTTGCTTCTGTTTCTGGACAAAACATCCCACTGTATGGATATCACACATTGTGTGTTCCCGTTCATCAAAGGATGGACATTGGTTGTTTCCACTTTGGGGAGAGTTCAAATGATGCCATTGAGAACAGTGCTGTACAAGTTTTTGTGTGATTATGGTCAAATTTGGAGGTTTATACCTAGGAGTAGAATTGCTACTTCCTGTGATAATTTGTTCAACTTTTTTTTTTGAGATTTATTTATAGAAGAACTGAGGTACAGGCCAGATGCGATGGAGGGTGAGCAGATTCACCAGAGAGAGAGCGGGGAACAGAACAGGCAGGCTGACTAAATACACTGCTGAGGGGAGCAGCGTGTGTGACAGGTGAGGTCTCCCGAGCCATGTGGGACTCCGCCGGCCTGCCAGGATCCAACCGGTGCTGCAGAGGCTGGGAGAGCTTCACAGTGTGGTGCTCAATTGCCTGCTCCACCAAGGGAGGCCCAAGTTGTTCGTCTTTTTAAGGAACTGTCTGTTTTCCAAGGATGCTACAACATAGTATATCCTCACATGCCATGTATGACATTCCAATTTCTCTACATTTTATTGTGGGTATTTTTAAATGTAACTATGCTAATGGATGGTAAGTTCTATCTCCTTGAGATTTTGTTTTTTTCTGGCTTTTGCATTTTCCTAATGAGTGGTGATGGTGACAGCTTCATGGCTAATTGTGTGTCTTTTTGGAATTATCTCTTCACATACATTGCCCATTTTAGTTGGGTTATTTGTATTTTGGTTTGTAATAACTTCTGTATGCTAATTACAGTTCTAGGTATGTCCCTTATCAGCCTAATAATTTTAGAAACTTTCTGTCATTCTCTGAGTTGTCTTTTACATTCTTGATGGAGTCCTGTGAAGCTCACCTCAGTATCGTTGTTATATTGAACTTTTATTGCTTGTGCTTTGGTGTCATCCAGGTAACCATTGGGAACCCAAGGGAACAAGAGTTTTTCCCTCTTTTCTTCCAAAAGGTTTTAACCATTTCAGTTCTTACACTTAGATCTTTGGTTCATTTTGGGGATACCAGTGATCTGTCCACTCCATTCTTTGAATTTCTCCATCCTACACTCCTCATACACAGGAAGGGATGCACTGAGGGAGGGACTACCTCTGGCCTCCCCTGAGCTGTCTCAGTACATCACACAAATCACATGAAGCACTGGGCTCTCCCCACTTAGGGAACATGTCTCTGAAGTCTCTTCTGCCTCCCCTCCCCTCTCAGACCTGAGCTCTGCATGATCCCCTCCCTTACACAGCAGGTGCCAGGGGGGCAGTGGTCACAAGACAGACCCTGTCATGAGCTTGTGTATGTCTGGCTGCTGCTGTGTGGGTGTGGTTGATCCCCTGTGGGGTCCCTCAGCTCCTTTCCTGGTCCTTTGACTATGGGGAGCCATGCTACTCATGTCGTCTGACAAAAGTCCAGGCATGGGGCAGATTTCTGAAAAATCAGGAATCTTGTTAGCTGACTCCAAGATTCTCCTCATTTGTTTATGGCTAGTTTCTACCATTGCTAAAATACGCATTTAAAAGTAAAACTGCAAATACTGATCAATCACTGAATAACCAGTTTGATGACAAATGGCACTGCATGATACAAATATCACATTTTTTATAAAATTAGTAGTTATCTGCCAAAAGGCAGCAATTCAACATTTGGCCTTACATTAATAAATTAAAAAAAACTTCTGGGAACAAAAGGCTGTAAACATCCCTAGGCCAAGTCTTTGATATGGAGATGTGGTCTTTTGAGGCAAGGGCTAATTGGAGAAGGAAATTCCTTTACTTTAAAGTAAAAGATAGCAGTTGGGTGGCAGAGGAGAGCCATGCTCCAAGTGTAAGAAAATTCCTAATAAACCAGGAGGCGCCATAGCTGACTCCTGCTAAATTCTTCCTGTTTGTTTAGGGCTAATTTCCCTGGAGGTGACAATTGGTATGGTAGCTGTTAGAGTGTGCATTCAAGAATAAGTCAACAGCAATTTTGTGACTGGTTGAGCTAGTACCATGGCAGCACAAATAATGCACTTGGATATGGTTAATGTTACAACTACTGATATGTCACCTATCGACCATTTTTGAGAATCAAAGGCTATAACCATCTCTGCTCCTGCCCCTGGTGAAATATTTGTAGTTCCTTAAAACAACAACCAGCAATCTTATAGATAAGGAAATTGTCTCTTGATCTTAAAGTTAAATATGGAAACTAGGCTGACTAGATAAAGTAGAGGAGTAATAAGTAGAAAACTCTTTGTTTAGATTAGGAGACTTTCTCCCTCAATTTGTTAGGGGAAAAGGATGTCCTAAAGCTAATTCCATACAGGCTTTGTGGACTCCGCCCCCAATCCCAGGCCAAAGCCAAAGACACTGGGAACTCCAAATCCCATCACCACCAAAGGGAAGGTGGCTGGGACCTGAGGGTGGGGTTAAGCAGCCTGGTTGGTATAAAGCCAGACACGTGGGCTTGGGGGGTTCCCCCGTTTTGGCTCTCCGCCAGCTCTCAGCATCCGGCCAGCTCTGAGAGTGACTTTGGGTTTCCAGGTCGGCGGATTGGGTAGGACGCATTAAAGACTTTATTTCCCTATTTTTTCCCTGAGTTGTACATTTTCCTTATTTCCTTTTCCCTTGTAAATAAACCTTTTATTAACCTTTTGTGTGTGCCTGTAGTGGAGTATTAATAAGTCCCTTATAAGCGCGCGGGTGAGGACCCACAGCCAGGAACCCGTTCAATATCGGGGCTGCTCTATAACAAATTCACAGCTGGGGCTAGGGAAGAGTCAGTGCCGCTTGCCTGGCATTAACGCCCTCCAGGCACTTGGTTCCTTAATATCAAATCAATATAAAAGCAATATACTATAGATGATGATTTCTATATAAAAGCCTTCTGTTTTTTACTTTAATCAATTAGTTATACGTTAGTCTAAACTTTATAGGTTAGTTAGAAAAAATCCCTTTGTTTCCCCTCCCCCAGGTAACTTCCTGCCCTTTGTCTCCCCAGCCCTTAGTTAATCCTTCAACATGGCAAACATAGAAATGTTAGTTACAGTCATGTAAGCCTTTTGCTAGTAATAAAATTGTTAGGGGGAAATGATGTCCTGAACTAATTCCATACAGGCTTTGTGGACTCCACCCCCACTCCAGACTAAAGCCATCAGGACATTGGGAAAGACAAATCCCATCACCACCAAAGGGAGGGTGGCTGGGAAGTGAGGGTGGAGTTGGGCAGCCAGGTTGTGTATAAAAACCAAACACGTGGGTCTTGGGCTGGCTGGCTGTCACTCGCCTCCTGGCTACACAGCTCCTGGCTGGCGGCCAGCTCTCAGAGCGCCATTTTGGAATTCCTGATCAGCGGATCGGGTAGGACTCATTTAAAACTTTGTCTCCCACTTTTCTCCCTGAGCTGTACATTTCCTCATTTCCCCTTCCCTTGTAAATAAGCCTTTATTAACCTTACGCGTGTGCCTGCAGTAGAGCATTGATAAGTCCTTTTAAGTGTGAGGGTGAGGACCCACAGTCAGGCACCCCGTTTTGTATCGGGGGGTTGCTCTACAACAAAATGACTGGTTGTTTAAGGTAAATGACTATTCTAAGAACACTTTTGTTTAGCAACTGTGTCTTCTTTAAAACAAAGAATAATAAACATCATGACCTCTGCAGGACTGCAAATAACCCCTTGGCTGTTCTTGAGAAAGATGTGATGATTGTTATCTTCCTGCCTTAATGCATATGCTTATGCACTCTCCTGGTTTGCTTGAAATGTATAAATAAAGGCTGCTGAGACCCTCAGCAGGATGATGCCTGCACCCTGACTGAGTGTCCCCGTCTCCTCATGCCCCTTCCCCATCCCTCAGGATTTCGCCGAAGCCGTCCCTTCCTTCAGGAACCCCTGACACCGACTGCTGCGGCTGGCTCACAACATTTGACAAGACAGCTCAGGATGATCTGTGCCCAGTGCAGAGTCTCATCCATGACAGTGAGGGTGGAGGGATATGCAGGTAGTCATTATGTTATAGGACAGGGAGAGGGGCAGCCCAAACCCCGCAAACCTGCCTATTCTAAATGGGTTCTGCCATCCACCGCATCAACACAAAACACATGAGACTAATGGGAAGGATCTTTAATAAAACTAGGAAACAATACAGGTAAGGCAAAGAGTCTAGTTTCTAAATGAAGCACCCAAAGTTACCCGTCCCCTCGTGGGTAAAAGTCCATCCATATGGGATTGGCCCAGAGCAAGGCCCCAAAGCCTGCCACAAGTCTAAAGCATCTTCCAGTGGGGACCCACAGAAAAGGGTCACAAACAACCGGACAAGCCCGGAAGGAAAAGAGCAAAATCAACATCCAGATAAAAGCTGCCATGGTCACCTCCCCACGGGTCTCACCCACATCTGTGTCACCCAGTCCACGACCAAAAGACAAGCGCAGTTTCTTCACGTGTCTCTAGGCTCCATGCACCTCCTCCAGGTCTTCTGGCTCCATCCTGCTCCTTCCTTCCTCAGTCTCTTCTGCAGCTTCCCCTCTTCCTGCTCAGCTCCACCCTCCCTTGGGTGGGGCAGGGAACCTGGAACCTCCCCCTTTCCTGGGGACCACCCTGTTACAATTATGGGATCAGGAACCCAGGGGGGCATTCTCATCTCTCTTGAGCTGGATGCCTCTGGAGCTGGTGTGTCCAGTTCCTTTGAGGGGCCTGCCTGCAGGCTGTGCCAGGATGAGATGAATCTTCAGGCTTGAATGGCAGAGACTCTGGGAGCACCCAGGAGAGTGCAGAGACTGAGAGATTCCTCTTGGGAAGGAAGAGAAGAGCCTGGGCCACCATTGGGACCAGCAGCTTATGAGCCTGAGCAGCTGGACACCCTTGGCTAGGTTGTTCCTCAGCTCCTTTGCAGGTCAGCTGCCCTGACTGACTCCCTAGAGCATTCAGATCAGCACCAAGCAAAGCACCTGACCCAGGATCCAGCCAGGCAGCTCTAGAATCCCAGTCACTGCCTGGCTCCTCCCTTACCTCACCAACCCCTCACACTGCAGAAGTGATTTCTTTTACAAATGTATATTGTGTGATTATCAGAAATGCCTCTTCCATCCTAGGCTATCAATATGGCAAGGGACTTTGCTGCCTGCCTCCTAGCCCCCAGGTTTGCAGCCTCCCAGCCTGCTCATCTGCTCCCCTGCTTAAGCATTAAAGGCCTGTTAGATCTACCTAGGGCTCCAAATTCCTTTCCCTCTCCTGAATAACAGTGAATCTGGCTGGTGCTGCCAGTTTCAGGACTTCTCCCAAATCCATCTGGCCCCGCCCCCAGGCAGTTTCCTTTCAGAGTTGACTCCTGGGAAACGAATCCACAGGCAGGAACCCGGACATGGAACTGCAGGGAGACTAGCAGCGATTTTGTTGCTGACTGCTCCGTGAGGAAGGGAGGATTGAAGTCCAGGTCAAGTTTTGCTCTGGGGTGGAATGTGAGTTCTGTGTCTGTGTGTCTGTGGGTGTCTGTGCACACAGGGTGTGTGTTCCTGTGTGGGCGTGTGTGTGTGTGGTCCCTGGCAATAAGGAGCTCACTGGAACCTGACAATGGTCAGGACATTGCTTTCCAGCTCTCTCTCCCTCTGCTTTCTCTTTCCCAGGCACAGTGCCACATCTCAGATCAGGGTGTGAGGTCAGCAAGGGCAGGCACTTAGGGTTCAGAGGAAGGGCATCCCCAGGAGCACAACCCCAGGCATAAGGAAGGCTGGTGCAGCCCCTGGGAGAAATCCCCTCCGTGGGAGAGCAGTCTGCAGAGACGTGCTCTGGCTCCGAGGGCTAGTCCTGAAAATAGGGGGAAATAATCTATCCAGTTCCTTGGGTTGGATCTGCTTTTAGTCCAGGCTCTGTGAGTGCAAAGGGAAGGTCTCTACTTCCTCCCTCAGCACCTCCCCACACACCCAGCAAGGGGAGGGCAGCAGGGCTGGGAGCTGGAGCAGCTACAGCTGTGGGGAAGGGCAGACCCTCTGCTCTGGTCCCTTTGTTATAGGGCAAGCCCGATATAAAATAAAATGGGTTGCCTGGCTGTGGGTCCTCACCTGCGCGCTTAAAAGGGACTTATTACTCCACTACAGGCGCACACAATAGGTTAATAAAAGGTTTATTTACAAGGGAAAAGGAAGTAAGGAAAATGTACAACTCAGGGAGAAAATAGGGAAATAAAGTCCTTAATGCGTCCTACCCAATCTGCCGACCTAGAAACCCAAAGGCACTCTCAGAGCTGGCTGCACTCTGCGAGCTGGCGGAGAGCCAAAATGGGGGACCCTCCAAAGCCCACGTGTCTGGCTTTAATACCAACCTGGTTGCTTAACCCCACCCTCAGGTCCCAGCCCCTTCCCTTTGGTGGTGATGGGATTTGGAGTTCCCAGTGTCTTTTGGCTTTGGTCTGGAGTGGGAGGGTGGAGTCCACAAAGCTTGTATGGAATTAGCTTTAGGACATCCTTTCCCCCCTAACACCTGCTCCTCTGTCTCCAGCTTTCAGTCCTCACTGGTGGACACTGGGGGGTCCCGGACAAGGAGCCCAAAATGGACAGGTCTTGCCCTCTGCTTCCTGCCTCCCCACATCCTGGTTCTGCAAATTCCCTCTGCCTCAGGCACCCTGACCTTGTCCTGGGAGACCTGTCCTCTCCTGGAGGGAGACAGTCACCTCCCTTGTGCCCAGGGCCTCTGCTCCCAGCACCAACACCTTCTCTTGCCACCCTCTGCAGCTCTCCCACTGGAGTAGGGTCTCCATATAAACTGGAATAACCTGGAGCCCCTTTTACTTTGTAGCAATTTGTGGGGTCCAGAGAACCAGACATGGGGGAATGAGGAGAATCAAGTGTCACTGGCCCCATGAATTCTGCTCCCAAATCATTCACCTCTATTGCTGGCAGGAAAAGAAGTCACTCAGAACTTCGAGCTGACTCCTACTGAAGTCCATTTGATACAGAGAGATTATCACTCTCCCTCCCTGACTTCTCTTCTCTCCTACAACTTTTGCTAGCAAACCTGTCTGCCTCTCTATCTCTACGAGTACCTGATGAGAACACTTTCTGCCATGAGGGAATGTTCTTTACTTGGATACCATTGGCAGGTATGAAGCATTGAATTATGGATGGTGGGACTTAAACACTGAATTTAAATGTTATTATTGAATTTTAATCTATTCAACTGAATAGGGCGAAGTGACAGGGATCACCCTATTCTACCACACAGGGACATGTGAGGCATCATTCAAATTATAACCCATTTTGTCTCCAGAGAGAAGACTTCAACACCTATGCAGGCTCAGAGGCTTAGGTGAGGCTTAATGCTTCACTTGGAAAATCCTGTCTGATCCATCTCGGCCTACAGATACTGCCTCAGGAAGAGCCATGGCCTCAATTTCAGGGATCAGGAAGATGAGGGAGGAAGCCACGTGCTCCATCTGTCAGCAGCTGATGACAGAGCCTGTGAGCATCTACTGTGGGCACAGCTTCTACCACAGGTGCATAAGTAGCTTCTTTGGTCAGAGTCTCCATTGTGCGTTTTTTGTGATGATGCGTCCCTGTCCCTTGTGTGGAACATCATTTCAAAGGGAGAGTCTCCACCCAACAGACTGCTGGAAAACCTCATTGAGAGCATTAAGGAGCTGGAGCATGAGAAGCTGTGTGAGGAACTTGGGGAGCAGCTGTACCTGTTCTGTGAGGATAATGGGCAGCTCATCTGCTGGCGCTGTGAGCGCTCCCCCCAGCACAGAGGACCCAGCACGGCTCTAGCGGAGGATGTATGTCCAGGCTACAAGTTGAGTGAGTGGCCAAACCTGTCAGCAAGTACTTCCTCTATGGTACACATTTTTATTGAAATTAGTTAGTCTGAACACCAAGATTGTGACCCTAAAAATGTTGTTTCCATCACATTATTTTCTGAATAATTGTTGATTATGATCCCGGTGAGTCAGGTCCTGATGATCTATGCCAAACTTCAGGGTTGGTCAGAACCCATTTCTGTAACGAACTTTTCCTGACAATACAGTGTGCTCTTTGCCACACCAGCCCTGTTCAAGGCCTCACCTCGAATATATAATTGGAGACACCACAGCATGCAAGAGCATAGGAAATCATCTAAAATCCCAGTGGTCAGAACCACCAACTGTTTTACAGCCTATAGCACAAGGAGTAAGAAAAGGAACACTGGATACTGACTCCCTTGGTGTGGGTGATGAGGGGGAGCATCAAGGGGTGCCAATGGGTGTAGGTAGGGAGACTGCCCAGAAGTGAGTCCTGACAGGAAAATATAAATAACCCTGTGTGGAAAAAAGACAGGATCCACTCAGGCAGACTACCTGTCATGACAGCTTGCCTGACAGTCTAGTACCTTGTCAGGGGGAGTGTGATGGGACCGTCAGGTGAGGGCATGAGAAAGGGAGTCAAGGAAAGAACTTGAGTGTCACTCAGAGTCTACTGGTCCACAGTGGGGATTTATTTGTGGAGGGAAAGATCAGGCTGACATTTAAAAGAACATTCTGCATGCACAAAATAAACATCAAGGAATAAAATCGAAATTAGTTCTCTAATAAAAGGGGATGGAAACAGGCGTTAGCAAGGATTAAGGAGTTAAAGGTTTTCAAAATAATTGGTGAGGGCCTCTCCGGTGGTGCAACGGGTTGAGCGCAGTGCTGTGAAGCTGTCCGCAGCCTCTGCATCACCGGTTCAATTCCTGGCCGGCCAGCGAGATGCCCACATGGCCTGGCAAACCTCGCCTGTCTTGCCCGCTGCTCCCCGCAGCAGTACTTTGGTCGATCTGCCTGTTCTACTCCCTACTCTGTCTCTGGTGAATTCTCTCACCCTCCTGCGCCTCTGGCCTGTACCCCAGTGCGTGTATAAATAAATAAATCTTTTAAAAAATAAAATAAAATACTGAGGACATAAAAACATTGTTCTAAATAAAAAAGAAATAATTGGTGAGTGATGAAGCCTTGAGAGAGGTTCAGGCAACTCCTATGTTTCTCACTCAGTAGCTCTGAGTAAAGACGCCCTTTGCTGCACAGGAATGAAGAAGTGGGAATCATTCCTCCTCTGTCCTGTTGACATTTGAAGGAAAAGTCCCATGGGGCCTGTGTCCCCTCATCCTTCAGGTCCCCGTGTCTTCTGTGAAGGTTCTGGATCCAGTATCAGGGTGTGTCAGTCCTGAGCACCACTCAGTGCACTCACGTCCTCCTGTAACCCCATGCGCAGCTCATCACTGTGATGGGGCAGATCCCATAACTTTCCCCCCAAGCAGTAAAAAATAAAGCAACCCAAGGTGATGGACGTAGCCTCAGGAATCAGACTTTGGTGGTCAAAACTTAGTCGAAGTTTCACATGAAGCACTGGGCTCTCCCCACATTGCGACATGTCTCTGAAGGCTCTTCTGTGTCCCCACCCCTCTCAGCCCTGAGCTCTGCATGATCCCCTCCTTCACACAGCAGGTGCCAGGGGGCAGTGATCACAGGACAGACCCTGTCATGAGCTTGTCTTTGTCTGCCTGCTGCTGTGTGTGGGTGGTTGATTCCCTGTGGGGTCCCTCGTCCTCTTTCCTGGCCCTTTGACAAGACAACTTGGGATGAGCTGTGCCCGGTGCAGAGTCTCATCTATGACAGTGACAGGGGAGGGAGAGGCAGGAGTCACTATGGGATCAGGGACCCAGGGTCTCAATCTCCCTCTGTCTGTGAGCTGCATGCCTCAGGAGGGGTGTCCTGTCCCTGTGAGGGGTCTGTCCCCGACTGTCCCAGGTCATGATGAGATGTTAATTTGTCCCCTTTGTTGTTGCTCTGAAGGAAGGGTGCTGTTCCTACCAGACCCTCTAGTCAGAATTCCTGAGTGTAAAACTTCTGGCATTTTGACAAGTCTCCTCCCTCATCTACCTGGACCTGCCCCACATCCATTTCATTTCTGAGTTGACTCTATCAGAGGAACTTCCCTTCTAGGAATCTGGAATCGGAGCGGCTGGCATAGATTTTGTGACTGACTGCCCTGTGGGGAGGACTGAAAAAGTCCAGGCCAAGGTTTGCTCTGGGGTGGACTGTGATGTCTGTGTGTGTGCAGTGGGAGGCAATAAGAAGAGCTCAGCCAAGTCAAATTGGTCAGGACTTGCTTTCTAGCTCTCTTCCCCTCTGCTTTCACTTTCAAGACTCCATTTCCCCTCTCAGATCAGGGTGTGAGGTGAGCAAAGGGCAGGCACTTGGGGTTCAGAGGAAGGGCATCCCCAGGAGCACAACCCCAGGCATAAGGAAGGCTGGTGCAGCCCCTGGGAGAAATCCCCTCCGTGGGAGAGCAGTCTGCAGAGACGTGCTCTGGCTCCGAGGGCTAGTCCTGAAAATAGGGGGAAATAATCTATCCAGTTCCTTGGGTTGGATCTGCTTTTAGTCCAGGCCCTGTGCACCTTCTCTTGCCACCCTCTGCAGCTCTCCCGCTGGAGTATGGTCTCCACATAAACTGGATTAACCTGGAACCCCTTTTTCTCTGAGAGTTTTAGGGAGTCTTGAGGACCAGATGTGGGGTGTGAGGAGAGTCAAGTGTCACTGACACCATGCACTCTGCCCCCAAACCATTCACCTCTGTTGCTGGCAGGACAAAGAAGTAACTCAGAACTTGGGGCTGACTCTTCCGAAGTTCATTTGACACAGAGAGACTATCACTCTCCCTCCCTGACTTCTCTTCTCTCCTACCACTTTTGCTAGCAAACCTGTCTGCTTCTCTATCTCTCCTACTACCTGATCAAAGAACACTTTCTGCCATGAGGGAATGTTGTTCACTTGGATATGGTGGGAATATTGGCACTTGGATATTGGCAGGTATGAAGCATTGAATAATGGCTGGTGGGACTCAAACATTGAATTTAAATGTTATCATTGAATTTTAATCTAAACTGAATGGGGCAAACGTGGCAGGGTTCAACCTATTCTACCACACAGGGATGTGTGAGGCATTTTTCAATCCATTATGTCTTCAGAGAGACTTCAACACCTGTGCAGGCTCAGAGGCTCAGGTGAAGCTTAATTCTTCACTTGGAAAATCTTGTCTGATCCATCTCTGCCTATAGATAATTTCAGAAAGAGCCATGGCCTCACTTTCAGGGATCAAGAGGATGAGGGAGGAAGCCACGTGCTCCATCTGCCTGGAGCTGATGAAGGAGCCTGTGAGCATCCACTGTGGGCACAGCTTCTGCCGCCAGTGCATAACTGCCTACTTTGGTAAGAGTCTCCATTGTGTGTTTATTGTGATGATGCGTCCCTGTCCCTTGTGTGGAACATCATTTCAAAGGGAGAGTCTCCGACCCAACAAGCCGCTGGAAAACCTCATTGAGAGCATCAAGGAGCTGGAGCGTGAGAGGCTGTGTGAGGAACACGAGGAGCGGCTCCACCTGTTCTGTGAGGACGACGGGCAGCTCATCTGCTGGCGCTGTGAGCGCTCCCCCAGCACAGAGGACACAGCACGGCTCTAGTGGAGGACGTATGTCCAGGCTACAAGGTGAGTGAGTGGCCAAACCTTTCAGCAAGTACTTCCTCTTATGTTGCACATTTTCATTGAAATTAGTTAGTCTGAACACCAAGATTGTGACCCTGAAGAGTTGTTTCCATCATGTTATTTTCTGAATAATAATTTATTATGATCCCAGTGAGTCAAGTCTTGATGATCTATGCCAAACTTCAACATTGGTCAGAACCCATTCTTGTAAGAACTTCCTGTGATGAACTTCTGGACAATACATTGTGCTCTTTGCCAACCTGCCTCATTCATGGCCTCATCTCGAATATATAATTGGAGACACCACAACATGCAAGAGTACAGGAAATCATCTGATCCCATAGGTCCGAATCTCTAACTGTTAGATAGCCTCCAGTCTACAAGGATTAACAAAAGGAACACAGGCTGCCTCATGTCCCTTGGTGTGGGTGGTGAAGGGGGGAACTTAAGAGCCTGAATGGGTATAGGGGAGACTGCCCAGAAGTGAGTCCTGACAGGAAAATATAAATAACCGTGTGGAGAAAAAACAAGATTCCACTCAGGCAGACCACCTGTCACAGCAGCTTGCCTGACATTCTAGTACCTTGTCAGGGTGTGTGTGCTGGAACTGGCAGGTGAGGGCATGAGAAAGGAAGTCGAGGAAAGAACTTGAGTGTCACTCAGAGTCTACTCGTTCACAGTTGGGATTTATTTGTGGAGGGAAAGATCAGGCTGACATTTATTTATTTTTTTTTTAACTTTTTAAAAAAAATTTATTTATTTATTTACACAAGCACTGGGTACACTCAGAAGCGCGGAGGGTGAGAGAATTCACCAGAGCCAGAGCGGGGAGCAGAGCGGGCAGAAGGACCGAAGTACACTGCTGAGGGAGCAGCGGGCGGCAGGAGAGGTCTGCGCGCCATGTGGGACCCTCCTCCTGTGGCCGGGGAGCAGCTGGGAATCGAACCGGCGCTGCAGAGGCTGCGGGCAGCTTCTCAACCCAGTGCTCAACCGCTGCGACACCTGGGAGGCCCCCAGGCTGACATTTAAAAGAACATTCTGCGTGCACAAAATAAACATCAAGGAGTAAAAACAAAGTTAGTCCTCTAAGAAAAGGGGATGAAAACAGGTTTTAGCAAGGATCATGAAGGACAGTTAAAGGTTTTCAAAATAATTGGTGAGTGATGAAGCCTTGAGAGATGTTCAGTCACCTCCTAAGTTTCTCACTCAGTAGCTCTGAGTAAGGCTGCCCTTTGCTGTGCAGGAATGAAGAAGTGGGATTCATTCCTCCTCTGCCCTTGTTGACGTTTGAAGGAAACATCCCCAGTCGGGCTCTGTGTCCCCTCATCCTTGAGGTGCCTGTGTCTTATGTGAAGGTTCAGGATCCTGTGTCAGGGCTTGTCAGTCCTGAGTACCCTCAGTGCACTCACCTCCCCCTGTAATGCCATGAGCAGCTCATCACTGTAATGGGGCAGATCCCGTAACTTTCCCACCAAATAGTAAAAAATAAAGCAACCCAAGCTGATGGATGTACCTCAGGAGTCAGACTGCGGAGGTCAAAATCTAGCGAGAGTTTCAGTTCTTACTAGATGGGATCAGTGAGCAACTTAGTTATTGCCTACATGACTTGGTTTCCCCATCTGTCAGTGGAGATTGCAGTGTCCCCTCCCAGCCCCCCACCCCCACACACAGCGGAGGTTGTCATAAGCTATAAATACATTCTTGATGTAGAGTTGAGAATAGCACTGGGCTCAGAGCAAGAGAAAATCAGTCTTTTGCTAACTAGATTCCTCACACTTTCTTGAGAGCACTGTGTTGTTATGAGTATATTTAAGAGTTTGCAGAGAGCAGGAGCAATTCTTTTACTGTGGACCATGACTAGCAGTTTAGTAAGCTTCAGATTGCTTCTCTTGAAAATGTGAGAAAGTGTTTGAAAAGTAACTCTACAGCTGGATGAGGACACTAAACACTGTAAGTTGCTGTCATGACACTGTTCTTCAGGTGATACAGGGCTCTCCCTCCATGACCTGGTTCTGTAACTTCAGCTGCCATCCTAGGCTCTCCTTCCTGACTCACCATAAGATGTAAAATATCCCACGTGTTTCATACACTCTGTAGTGTTTATTACTGGTCCAACACATTATTTTATAAAACATACTGTTAGGTTATTATAATCCTGTTCTATATGCAACATGTCCCTGGAAGGCTGTAGTGGTGGTTGTATTTCAGGCTCTGGGTCAGCAGATGAGCTGGGAATTACATCTCAGCCACCTTTCAGTGATGGCCCCATTGGAAGGTTACTGCTCCCTTCCTAAGCCTCCACTTCTACAGCACAGAAAGATGTTACAATCCTAGAAACGCCTCGTGTCAGCTGAGGATCGGTTATGTTACAGCCCTCATAATTTTGTCCTTTGTTAAGGCCTGAAAATATATTCAATGTTAATTATTTATTGGCGGTTGCACCCTGTAGGTGCCAAGTGAAGGTTTGTGAAATTGACTAGTCGTAACTCAGCCCTTTTTCCTTCAGGAGAAGCTCCAGGAAGTTGTGACAAAACTGAAAGCACAGAAAGATACATGTAAGAGTGCAAAGTTGTTCACGAGAGACCAAATGACAAAATGGGAGGTAAGAATTTGAGTTTATTGACCTCAAGTTATTTTCTGTCCTTGAATTTAAAGAGAGGCGATAACTGGGAAAGTATTAGGCTGTTCATTCTCTGTCCACCAGAGCACAGATCAAACTCAAGAAGAATCCATTTTTTTAGTTTTAATACTACTAGTTGTCTATATCTATGAGAATTTATCTCCATTTTCTTCAACCTTTCAATAATAATTGCGTAGTTGTCCTGTGCCTCTGTCAGGAGACGAGAGTTGGTATGTCTGCTTACCTGGAACCCAGAACTTGACTGGATTTCTATTTTTAAATCTTTTTTTTTATTATTATTATTTTTTTAATTTTCTAGAGGCATGTTTTTTTATTTATTTGTTTGTGTTTTGTTTATACATGCACTGGGTACAGTCAGAAGCGCAGGAGGGTGAGAGAATTCACCAGAGTCAGAGCAGGGGCAGAGCAGGCAGAAGGACCGAAGCACACTGCTGAGGGGAGCAGCGGGCAGCAGGAGAGGTCTGCGCGCCATGTGGGACCCTCCTCCGGTGGCCGGGGAGCAGCCGGGGATCGAACCAGCGCAGCAGAGGCTGCGGGCAGCTTCGCAACCCAGCGCTCAACCGCTGCGCCACCTGGGAGGCCTGGATTTCTATTTTTAACAACTCAACCTTTGAAGGCCTCGACCTGCTGACATAGGCAAATTTATCTACTATATTTTCGAACTTCACCTGCCAGGTTTAGAAATCACCTTTGGGAGCCTGAAAATAGGATCACTGCAGGTGAGATTTTATTACTCAAACTTGCAGAGCTCATGAGGAGGCTGAGAACTGCTTCAATAATGCACTTGAGGGCCTCCCCCGTGGCGCAGCGGTTGAGCACTGGGTTGCGAAGCTGCCCGCAGCCTCTGCACCGCTGGTTCGATCCCTGGCTGCTCCCGGCCACAAGAGGAGGGTCCCACATGGCACGCACACCTCTCCTACCACCCGCTGCTCCCCTCAGCAGTGTACTTCGTCTTCTGCTTGCTCTGCACCCCGCTCTGGCTCTGTGAATACTCTCACCCTCCTGTGTCTGACTGTACCCAGTACTTGTATAAATAAATAAATAAATCTTAAAACAAAAAAAAAAGAATGCATTTGAGGGTCTCCCCTGGTACTGCAGCAGTAGAGCGCTGGGCTGCGAAGCTGCCTGCAGCCTCCTCAGTGCTGGTTCAATCCCCCGCTGCCAGCGAGGGTCCCACATGGCCGCTGGCGAGGATCCCACCTGGCATGCAGCCCTCTCCTGCCACCCGCTGCTCCCCTCAGCAGTGTATTTCAGTAAATCTACCTTCTGCTTGCTGCTCTGGCTCTGGTGAATCCTCTTACCCTCCCGTGCTTCTGACTGTACCCAGTGCTTGTATAAATAAATAAAAAATCTTAAAAAAAAAAAAAAATGCACTTGCACTACAGACTTGGGGTGTAGCACAATGTCATGGTCAAACAAGGTATGAATAGAGAAAGCACCAAGTGAAACTACAATTCTGTATGTCCCAAATGAAAACTGAGGCCTTCAGGTGGGTCATTTGATTTCCGTCAGTCTTAGCCATAATGATGATAGTGAATCCTCTCTTGGTGGATAATTATTTCTGGAATCTGTGATCAAAGCCTGTCACCTAAACTGCCCCCTGCTGAGGCTGAGAATCATAGACTCTTTCTACCAGCCTGGACATCTTAAATTCAGGATTGGTTATATTTATCACAAGCCTCTGTTTGAAGATTCACATTTACCTTCTAACATCCCCTTCAACCCTTGGTTTTATCTCTATAAATGATCAATTATTTGACCTTGACCTATTTCCGTGTGTGTGTATGATTTAGCTTCCTGCCCCACGTTCTCCTGCAACTTGACTAAGGAAAAAGGAGATCAATTAGACCACCATAGACAGTTGAGTAACCCTCTCCCACACTTTGGTGCCTGCTCTCAGGCTTGACATACAGCGGGGAACTGGACATTCAAATGATGTAGGGGATAATAATATCACAGAAACTGAGCATGTTTCCTGGTGTGTGTGGGTGTGTTAAAATAAACATAACAACATTGGGCCTCGCTGGTGGCACAAGGGGTTAAGACGCAACCTATGAAGCTATTCACAGCCACTGCAGCACAAGTTGGATCCTCGGCCAGTGAGACACCCACATGGTGCAGCAGACCTTTCCTGACTCTCCTGCTGCTCCCCTTAGCAGTGTATTTCAGTAGATCCACCTGTTCTGTTCCCCACTCTGGCTCTGATGAATCTTCTCAACCCCCTACATGTCTGGCTTGTATCCCCAGTTCCTGTATGCATAAATAAACCAATCTTAAAGAAATAGAACATAAAATGCTGTTTTAACACTTTGTGAATGTAAGTTCATCAGTGCTTTTACACTATTGTGCAACCATTTTCACTCTATCTGCAGAAACTTTTCGTTGTTCCCAACTGGATCTCTGCACCCATTAAGCAATACCCATTGCTCTCTCTTCAAAACTCCTGGTAACAGGGCCTCCCTGGTGGTTAAGGGGTTAAAGTCTCAGCACTATAAAGCTGTCTCTAGCCACAGCAGCATGAGTTCAATCCCCAGCCAGGAGCTAGCCCACATAGGGCACAGAAGACCTTTCCTGTCTTTACCGCTGCTCCCCTTAGTAGGGTATTTTTTTTTTAAATAGTTTTTGAGAATTTTTTTTAAAGATTTATTTTTATTTATTTATACAAGCACTGGGTACTGTCAGAAGCGCAGGAGGGTGAGAGCATTCACCAGAGCCAGAGCAGGGAGCAGAGCAGGCAGAAGGACCGAAGTACACTTCTGAGGGGAACAGCGGGCGACAGGAGAGGTCTGCGGGCCATGTGGACCGTCCTCCCATGTGGGACCCTCCTCCAGTGGCTGGGAGCAGCCGGAGATCGAATAGGCGCTGCAGAGGCAGTGGGCAGCTTCGCAACCCAGCGCTCAACTGCTGCGCCACCGGGTAGGCCCTTAGTAGGGTATTTAAGTAGATCTGCCTGTTCTGCTCCCCACTCTGTCTCTGGTGAATCTTCTCACCCCCACACCTCTGGCCTCCATCCCAGTTTTTGTATGCTAAATAAATAAAAATAAATCTTAAGAAAAACCACTCCTGGTAACCATCACTCTACTTTCTATGCCTGAATTTGATTAGGTACTTCATGTTAGAATAATATTGCAATGTGTGTCTGACCAGCTTCACTTTTCCTGTCTTCAAGGATTCATCCTTGAACATATATGGAGCTTTCCTTCCTAAGGCCAACAGATTTCAAAATGTGATACCACATTTTTTGACTCATCCATACAATAGCATTTGGTTTGTTTTCCCTTCTGAACACACTTTCTGTATTTTAGGAGAACATAGAGCTTCAAAAACAGAAAATCCAGTCTGACTTTGAGAATCTCATCAACTTCCTGTCAGAGGAGAAGATGTACCATCTGCGAAGACTGGAGAAGGGGAAAGAGCAGACTCTGAACAAACTGTGGAAGAATAATAACTGTCTGAAAGAGCAGAGCCAGGAACTCAAGAACCACATCCTGCAACTGGAGGAGAAATGCCAGGGCTCAGCCAGAACTTGCTGCAGGTGAGCTGTGCCCGGAGGACATAGAACAGGGATCTGTTGCTGGGATGTTACCAGG